TCAGAAGATGCCAAATTATCATTTTTATTGCTAGGAGGAGGAGACGGGTTTTGATTCACAGAGAAGAATGATTGGGGCCCATTAATGGGAGAAGTCGGTTGTGGGCTATTACTTTCATAATTATTTTGAGTTTGACGATATGTACTTTGTTTTGTCTTCAAAGCTTGTAACAAGGTTACTATAATATCTCTGATTTTAGGAAGGTGGTTCTCCAAAGAAGAAGGAGAAGCCTTTTCACAAAGAGCATTCTCAAGACATACTTTCAATTCTTGTGGAATATTCGTCATGTTACTATTACAAATTTTAAATTACAAATGGAAAGATTTATTATTATAGTTGATTGTATTGATCATTATTATTATTTTTTTTTTACCAGATTCTTTACCTCGTGTCCACACCAGCTTGTCCAAACAATTGAACAACATGATTTAATTCAATAGCTAATTTTACATAAATATCAGAAACTTGTTGCTCAGTCACAAGCCCGTTAGACCAAGCAGTCAAAGCTTCCAACAAGGATTTTGTAGTGACAAGAAGTTGGGTAATTGTACTTTCCATTGTATTCATCTAATTTTAAAGTATTATTTTTCGCTTGTGAGCTTAACAATTGATGCAAACACATCTATTATGGGAATATAAAGTGATTTTAAGGAACAAATAAAAAGGACTTACCGGAGAACTTCCGGTGCTTCTTCTCTGTTGAGGAGGTGGTGGTGAAAGCTCTCTCTCTCTTTGAAGTAAAGGTGAGGAGGACGGACGACGTTGAGGGGTGGGATATTGATAGTTAGCGGGCGAGGGAGAGACACGAGTAATATTCGGCTGCGGAAACTGTACCGAAGGATAGTTTGGGTAACTCATAGTGATAAAGTTACTCTTGGTTAAAGTTGAGACGGAAAAAACGTAACGTTTCCTTGGGCAGTCTTACTGCCATTTATGATAATTCGGTGACACTGTGACATAATGACGCAGTATTTAACTGTTAGTGATAACATTGATTATTGTACTATTGCTACACATCCATGGCATTTGTTCATTAGGATTTCTATCTCCTGATCTCATGTATTCATAAATAGCTTCATAAATAACTTCATAAATAATAAGGTTATATGAATTTCACGTGCAAAGTGAGAATAATTTAATGAGACTTTTGCTAACAAAATAACTTTCAAGGTTCAAATTTGGTTTGAAATTCAAACCAAATTCATTATATCTAATATGTTTAGTTTAGTTTGGTTTTAAGTATCAGAAATTAAAAACATCCAGTTATACTGTACTTATTTAGTTAGTAACTAGGATTTCAGAGAATATATTTTTATATATACAGGGAGACAGATCCTTTCTGCCTACAGGAATTAGTGTACTCTAATTTTGAGCGAAGAGCTTTTTCGAACTAAAAAAATTAACTCTGCATTTTAATGAACATTTGGACTACGTACTGCATATCTTGATTTAAATAGCGATATACTGTATGTAGTAGCGAATGCGAAATTTCTAAATTACATACGGAAAACATTTCGAACCCTGTAAGACATGTTCTCTCTAGATGCACTATGATTTTCTTTTTTAATGCGCACTTAAGAAGCATGTAGAGCATTTAATGCACATTCTATATATAAATGCACATTTTTAAAATTTATACTATAGTCCCGAGGGTGTGCATTTAGATTATACAGTATTGTCTCAAAATAACGCCCCGGGAATAATACATCGCAGATTTTTTGTCTTCCCATTGTTTCAAAGAAATAGTTGATTCATTTTCCAGTAATCTTCGTCGACAACTATTGGTCGAAATAATACGCAATGGCACATGATGCTTTTTCGTTCTTGATCTGTTGTATTACCGTAGATAGATAACCAAAAAAAAAAAACTCAACCATTTCATATCCCGTATCCATTGAAATTAAAACAGCTAGAATGTTGAGAGTAATGCGACAAGCTACCCAAGCACGTTCTACGTGTTTGCTCATATCTTCACCGAGACAACGAATATTTCAAATTGTAAAGGTTTATTTTATAATTTATTTATATTGCTTCGAGCCCTTTGCTAAAAAAAAAAAAAAAAATTGTTAGATAATGTATTTTTAAAACACAACATGCGAAAAACAGAGGTTTGCGAGTAACGAAACTGCTGCGAAACCGACGTCTACTACGCCAATTCAAAAACGTAAATTTAAACTCGGTAAATTTCTGTTCCAAATAACACTTTTAAGCGGCTTAACTTATGGTGGAGCTGTGTATTATTCTCTAAAAAATGTTAAATTTCAAGAAAATTTTACTGAACACATTTATGGAGCAAAACAGGTAGTAGATTATGTAGATGATCTTCAAAGGCAAGGTGTTTTTTATGATATGAAAAAGAAAGTGTGGCAAATAGGCAATAAATACATTAATTTGCCTGAACTACCTGAAGATAAATTAAAAACCTCTGATATATCCGAATTGGCCAATCAAGGAAATCCAATCATTCGTAAACTTTACGATACACTTAAAGAACTTGATACTATCATGGTAAAACATGACCTAAAAAATGTCGGCGGGAGAATTTTATCACAAGCAAGAGATGAGTTAGGTGAGCTCAGTAATCAAATTGATCAGCTTAAGGCCGATGAACAGGTTTTGTTGCAAAATAAATTAGAAGAACAGAAAGAAAAATACGATCAAATTATTGCCAAATATGAAAATTCAATGGAACAACAAGTCAATGATAAAGAAACTGCTCTAAAACAACAATTTGATCATGATAAACGTGAGTTGCAAGAACAACATTATGAACAGCTCAACGCTGAGCTTTCACGTCAAGCATCAGAACACGATAAAGAATTAAAAAATGAACTTGTTCGACAGGCTGTTGACATGCAACGTCGATGGGTGAGAGACGTAATGATTATGGTTGAAAAAGAACGTCATGGACGTCTAGCAAAATTAGATTATATCAATAAGCGCATCAAAACGCTTGAACGCTTTTGCATAGATAACACCGAAAATTTAGACGCTAGTGTCAAAATACATCGTTTATGGTGCGCATTGAAATCACTACAAAATATAGTTGATCAACCTCACAGAACTCCGTTTATCGAACAGATTGTTGCAATGCGCCGTTATTTTTCAACTGATGAAGTAGTGTTAGCTGTATTGTCTACAATCGATGATTCAGTTGCCATCAATGGTATTGATTCCATTTCAGATTTGTCAAAACGATTTAACACCGTAAGAGAGGAAGTTAGACGTGCTTCTTTAGTTCCTGAAGACGGTGGTGTATTTTCTCATCTATTATCTTTTGTATTATCTAAAATATTGTTTCGTAAACACGGACTCGTGGATGGGAATGATGTGGAAGCGATACTGGCTCGAGTCCAATATTATCTTAACAAAAATGATTTGGATACTGCAGCAAGAGAGTTGAATCAATTAGAGGGTTGGCCAAAAAAATTGGCTAATGATTGGATTATATCTGCTAGAAATCATTTAGAAATTAAACAAGCGATTGAGGTTTGTATCTTGTCTTGTTTTATTCTATTTTATATTATTTTATTTTATTTAAAATTTAATTTTAAACAGGTAATTGAAACGCAAGCTACATTGTCCTGTTTGTCCATAGCATAAAGTATAATTTAAAAAATAAAAGAATTATTTTAAAATTTAGTGACAAATATAAAATCTAAAATATATATATATTTGTAAAATAAGAAAGTTATTATTTTTTAAAAATTTTCGTAAACAGTTGTTAAATTTTTATATTTTATAAGAGAAAATTTTAAATTTGAAATAGTATAATGTAAGTAGTTTAAAATAGCATTATACAGTATAATTTTTTATAATTATAATGCAAAGGTTGTTTAGTTATACTGTATTTTGATACAAATTACTTTAAATTTTTTAATTAGATTATTCAATTGCTTTTATATTATTTGATTTTTCATATTGAATTTTCAGCTCAATTTAAAAAAAACATTATTATTTATATATTTATTTATTTTATAATCTTATTATACAGTCGACTCTATATAACTATCTTCCATATAATTATATCATGTGCAATTACATTTTTGTTTAGGTAAACTCAGTGCTGTACTTGTGGATGTAGGCGTGAAAAGACTTGGTCCGAGTTATTAGAGCCAAATAGAGCTCAGGACTACGTCACGAAGCTCAAATTCGGATCACGGGATTATAAGGGGAAATAGGAGAACGAATGTTTGAGTTATAGTGTAGAACGATAACTGAGTTTTGAACTCTAATAAGTTCTCCACTACAAGTTAGTTATCTTTATTAAAGCGAAGAAGAGTTGCTTTTATAGTTTTTACATGCTTATATCAATACAGGTTTTAAGATTGAACTTCCTAGCGAAATGACATTAATTACTGAAGTGCTATTAATGGAATTAATGGAATTAATTCTATTAAGGTCACTAATATCATTAAAGGGATAAAGCCATAAAAGGGATAAAGGATAAAGTAATTAGCACAAATGATGAAGTGAATTTTACAAAATAAGATAATAATTTTCTATAACTACTTTGTATTAACTAAAAATCTCTATAATCGACTAGAATAAAAATAAAACTACTAACAACTGAAGTAAGATATCACTAAAATAGAAAACTAGTCTCTTTGGAGCTTTTCACAATGTATTCAAAATATAAGAGCAGCTGCAAAATGCTTTGATATTGAACCCAAGCAAGTTTGTAACCAATAAAACAAAAAGCAAGAACTTTAAATATTGCACCTTATCTTTTAATACTTAATTGCAATTAATTCACCTTTAAAAGAAAGGCTAGTTAATAATTCTAACCTTAAACCCTAACTTAATTATAAAAAAAAAGCTTACAAAAAAAGCCCCAAAAATTTTAAAAATTATATATAAAATAAATTAAATTTCACAATAATCTGATTTTATAATAATTTGTAACAAATTTTTTTTTAATATAAAAAAAGTTTCTTTTAATATAAAAAAAATTTTTTTTGACTTAAAAAAATTTCTTTGATATAAAAAAAATTTCTTTTAACATAAAAAAAAATTTCTTTTGATATAAAAAAAAATTTTTGTATTTAATTATATAAAAAAATTTTTTAATATAAAAAAAAATTTCTTTTAATATAAAAAAAAATTTTTTTTAACATAAAAAAAAATTTTTTATGATATAAAAAAATTGCATTTTATTATATAAAAAAATTTTTTTATTACTTAAAAAGATGTTACAAATAAACCTTATACTTTATATTGTTAATAATAAAGATTTTTTGACTTTACTACTTGTTATTTCAATTGATAAAAACTATACTTTTATAATTTTGCTTGCTGAATAGAAATATATTAACAAAAAAGCATTAAACAGCTTACCAACTTTCAAAAGAATCATCTTTTTAAACAATAGTATAATATAAAATTTGTTTTTAGCTTAGAACTTTACAAAAAAGTATTGGTTAATATAAACTATAGAATTAAATTCAAAACTATATATAAGACTCATAAAGAACAAAGTCGAGTTACTATATACAACAAGCAACTTTTTACTTGCATATAGAGATCTAAAAAACTGCAAATTTCTTTGGCAGGAGCTTTTAATACAACAAATAACAAATCTACATCGGTGTCTAAATGGGTTAGATCAGAATAGTAATTTAGCAAAAATCCAAATCAAGCAAGGTCTTCTTAAAGCCAATTTGGTTGAGGGTAATTGGCAATTCGAAACACATCCATACTTGAATTCGATCTGGAAGCTCAATATAACATATCTACTGTAACGTTATATAAAGCAAAAATCTTCAACATGGACATTAAACCCACGCTTGATTGCTGGCTCTTTCAAGGTGCTAAACTACAAATAAGAGAAACAATGAATTTCTCTCTCTTTTTAAAAT